TGTGTGTGTGTGTGTGTGTGTGTGTGTGTGTGTGTGTGTGTGTGTGTGTGTGTGTGTGTGTGTGTGTGTGTAGGGTGGGTGAGCAATCTGCCTTGCGGGGAGTCCCCAAAGTGGTTTACAGGGCCTCTCTGGTCTGGAGCCTCACCCCCTTCCCTGGCCCTAAACTGTCTGGTTGCTGCCTAGGGCTTCCTGCAGGTGGTGCCCCCCAGAATGGGTGCTGAGTCCTGCCCCCTTCCTGCTTACCCAAGATGGGATTCCTTAACCCTCTTTGTGCCCCAAATCTGGGCTTCTGGCATTCACCGTAGCAGCAAATATGGGTGTCCTGCATCACCCAGGCTCCACTCCCGGGCTACTGGCCTCAAGCCACGTCCCTCCGGCCCTGCTCTGCTCAGTGCCTCCAGCCTTACCCTCCCTTCTTCCTTGCTGGGGCTGCCAGGATGAAAACCAAGCTGGGGTGGGGGTGGGGAGGAGGTTCCTGCTGGAACTCCTGGGGGGTATTTAGAATCAGCTGGACAGCACTGAGGCAGAGAAGTGGTCTTTAGGTTCTCAGAATTCTCAGGGTGCTCTAGCCTTGTACCTACTCCCCTGCACCAACCCCTTCAGACACCCAGACATGCACATGCTCTCCCACATGGATACACGCACTCCACATATGCAGCTACACAAGACACAAACACAGACACACCCACACACAGGGTAATCGAGATCACTTGGTGTGTACTGTGCTAGGCATGGGTCTTCTGGCTGACGGGGCCAAAAAGAGAACCCCACAGGTGACCCATGGCCATGGTGACAAACACCACAGAAACCCTGGTCTCACACAGCCTCACATACACTGCGCTGACCCCAGGAACACACTGTCACTGCAACACATACCCAGGCCCGATTCCCTCCTGCACATGGCCACACACAGCTTTCATACCTCATACCCACTGAGGAGTCAGGGCCCATGTGCAGCACACAGGTACCCTCTCCCAAGGTCGTACAGACCACAGACACAGACATAGATACACAGATTCACACAGGCACCACCAACACCCAGACCCCACTCACACACAGACACGTACAAATCCACACAGACAACTATATGCACACAGGGGCTCCTGAGCATGCACACACACCCCGACTCACACACACACACACACACAGACTCTCCTTGCACACCCAGCCCCACAAACTGCCGTGTCACCTGGCACCATGCGCCCTCCTGGCAGACACACACCAGCGCCCGCCCCCAACCTCCGTGTGACCTTCACAAAGCAAATGCCAGGCGTTTCCATGAAGCCTGCCTGGCACCTCCTACAAGGCAGTCAGGTGGAGTGGGGCAGGGAGCCCAGGGAGATGCCAGGCCTGCCTGGGGGAGACAGGCACCCAGTGATTTACTGGGCAGCCTTGTAGCCCGACTGCCCTGGTTCAAATCCTTGCTTTACCACTAGCCAAGTTACTCATCCTGTTTGTGCCTCAGTTTCTTTCTCTGGAAAATAGGGCATTAGTACACATCCAGGCATAGCAGAGTGCCTAGCATGTGACATTCAGTAGCAGCTGGCTACTTTCATTGTTATGATCTTTACCAACTGGGATGTGTCCCCTTTCCTGGCCACCCCCCTCCCCTGCTTGTTTCTTTCCCATCGGCCCCTGCAGCAGAACTCTCTGAAGCCTGGATCTGCCCCTAGGCTGCACAGTCCTGCAGAGGCCCAATGTGATGCTCTGGGAGCCCAGGTGGGCAGGCCTCAGGGCCCCAGAGGGGTGGAGGCAGGTAGCAGCTTCAACTGAGAATGCCATCAAGTGGTCAGCCTGTCCAAAGGGGAGTCTTGGGCAAGTCGTTTCCTTTGTGATGAAGTGTCTGGGTGTGTGGCTGTGATGTCAGGGCCTGTCGGCTGCCCTTGACTCTGATTTGTGGCTTCAGGTCCCATTGGGACATTGCTGGAACAGCCTCCAGCCTGACTTTGGCCACGCTGAGCAGTGGCAGGTCAGGGAGGGGTGAGTTCCCACAGCTCTGGGGTTTGGTTCTGAGGGGTAGCTGAGACCCGCCCCCATACACACACACACACACACACACACACAAACACACACACTCAGGCTGCAGTTCAACAGGCCCGATTCTCCTCTGCCCTTCCACAGCCCAGGGGACATTCGCTCCTGGAAGCACAAACAGCAGGGCCCCAGGGAGCCTTTTCTTCCCATCCCAGCCTCTGGGCTCCTGCTTACGTGAGCTGAGTCCCCTGGGGCTGCAGGATCTGCCCGCAAGGCTAGTCAGGCGCCCTCTGGACTTGGGTCTCACCTTCCCCCAACGAACTGTGGCTTCAGTTCCTGGAGCGGGGTTGAGGTCCTCAGTATGGAACTATGTTCCTTTCCCCTCCACAGGGGTACTCAGCAGAGCCAAAACGCCCAGGCTGGGCCTTGGGAGACAGGACATGGTTCTCAGGCAGCAAGGCCACCAACCCCTCACTGCCTCTCTGCACCTCCGCCTCCTCATTGACCCAGGACGTTAACAGAACCCAACTCACAGAGTTAGTGGGAGACCTCATTGGGTTCACGTGTACAAAGCACTTTGATAGTGCCAGGCACACGGCAGATACTGAATAAGTATCTTATTATTATTACTATAAGCTTAAAGGATCTAACCTGGCACCCAGTACACAGCAGGTGCTTAATAAATGGGCATTATCATCAAAGGCTCAAGCTCATGATCTAAGAGTATTTTCATTCCTGAGTGTGGCTTTTTTTTTTTGGCTGCATTTGATCCTCGTTGCTGTGTGCGGGCTTTCTCCCTAGTTGCGGCGAGCGGGGGCAACTCTTCATTGCACTGCAGGGGCTTCTCACTGTGGTGGCTTCTCTTGTTATGGAGCACAAGCTCTAGGTGCGCAGGCTCAGTAGTTGTGGCGCACGGGCTTAGCTGCTCCATGGCATGTGGTGTCTTCCCGGACCAGGGCTCGAACCCGTGTTCCCTGCATTGGCAAGCGGATTCTTAACCATTGTGCCACCAGGGAAGTCCCTGAGTGTTTTTTTTTTTTAATTTAAAAAATTAACATAAAGTAAAATTCACCTTGTTTTTGGCTGCGCTGCACAGCTTGTGGGATCTTAGTTCTGTGACCAGGGATCAAACCAGGGCCCTGGCAGTGTAAGTGCAGAGTCCTAACCACTGGACTGCCAGGGAATTCCCCAAATTCAGCCTTTTTAGTATATATTGCATAAGGTTTTTTTTTTAATTGTGGTAAAATATGCATAATAAAATGTACCATTTTAACTTGAGTGTACAATTCAGTCATTACGTACAACCACATTGTTGTGCAACCATCACCACCATCCATCTCCAGGATTTTTTCATCTTCCTAAGCTGAAACTCTGTCCCCATTAAACACTAACTCCCCATTCCCACTCCCTCAGCCCCTGGCACCCACCATTCTACTTTCTGTTTCTATGAATTTGACTCCTCTAGGGACCTCATGTAAGTGGAATTGTACAATATTTGTCCTTTTGTGTCTGGCGTATTTCATTTAGCGTAATGTTTTCAAGGTTCATTCATGTTGAAACATGCGCCAGAATTTCCTTTCTTTTTAAGGCTGAGTAATATTTCATCGTATATATATATATACACCACATTTTCTTTATTCACCCATTAATGGGCATTTGAGTTGTTTCTACCTTTTGGCTGTTGTAAATAATGCCGCTATGAACATTGTTGTATAAGTATCTGTTTGAGTCCTACCTTTCAATTATTTGGGGTGTATATACTGAGGAGTAGCTTTGCTGGATCACGTGGTAATTCTGACTCAAGTTTTTGAGGAGCTGCCAAACTTTTCCGCACTGGCTTCACCATTTTGTATTCCCACCAGCAGCGCACAAGTATTCCGATTCCTCCACGTGCTCCCCAACACTTGTTATTTGCCTTTTTTTTTTTTTTTTTAAATAATAGGTATCCTGATGGGTATGCAGTGGTATCTCATTGGGATTTTTTTTTTTTTTTTTTTTTGCTGTACGCGGGCCTCTCACCGTTGTGGCCTCTCCCGTTACGGAGCACAGGCTCCGGACGCGCAGGCTCAGTGGCCATGGCTCATGGGCCCAGCCGCTCCGTGGCATGTGGGATCTTCCCGGACCAGGGATCGAACCCGTGTCCCCTGCACTGGCAGGCGAATTCTTAACCACTGAGCCATCAGGGAAGTCCCTCTCATTGGGGTTTTGATTTGCATTTCCCTGATGACCAATGGTGTTGAGCATCTTCTCATGTTTATTGTCCATCTGTATATCTTCTGTGAAGAAATGTTTATTTAAGTGCTTTTCCCACTTTTTTTTTTTTTTTGCCACGCATGTGGCTTGTGGGATCATAGTTCCCCACCAAGGGATCAAACCCGGGCCCTCAGCAGTGAGAGCACGGAGTTCTAACCACTGGACCACCAGGGAATTCCCTCCCACTTTTAAATTGGGTTGTTTGTTTTGTTGTTGTTCTTGTTGTTGAGTTTTAGGAGTTCTTTATATAGCCTAGAACATTAATCCCTTGTCAAATATGAGATT